TCGTTCACAACAACTACTAGGGGGATTTATAATCGAGCGACCAAATAAATACAGCAGTTTTGGAACGAGAAGAATGAAGTACCTTCAGGCATTGTCCTTTGTTCAATGCCTACCAATCAATAACTCTAATAAAATACAATCTTAGCGTACAAAAATACATGGTTGCGAAAACTTAACGAGAAAGAAAATATTCAATTCAAAAGAACATATCCCTAAAACTGATTGAGAGACAGCAACAGGAGAACTTATGCATTAGATAAAAATAATAATTACACGCGTGGCACACGGCAGAAAAGAAGCTTACCCAATAGCACCAAGACTGACCATGACGAACGCTCCTTCGGAGATGTGTGCTTATCCTTTGAAACACGGATTCAACAACGCTCCAGTTCACGTCTGTCCAAACAAAGAAGGTTATTCCCGACCATCCCCTCCACTGGCATATGGGAGCTGAAAAAGGATTGTGTAAACCTACGAGTACCGCAGCTGCTTATGATAATTGACTGTTGAAGGGATTATTACCAGTGCATTCGTGAGCCAGTCAAATGTCTAAAGGCTGCGGTATAAATATGGTTACAAGATCAAACTTCTAGAAACGTAAATGGCAGAGAAGCAGCTCTGATGACCAGACCATAAATTCGTCTTTGTCTCTACATAATGATTTGCTTTCACTATTATATCGTTTTTTGGTGAGCGAATCCACTTCTCCTAACACAAACGCGATATCTCGGCTCATGTGCTAACAGCTCAATTCCTTTCAAGACCTAGGGTAACAAATGGATACAATGCCCGATCTTCAACCAATTCTCAGGTTAAGCTCACATAATTGCCTTCCTCATAGAAGTCGACCGGTTACGGAAGCCACACTGTTGCTGTGAATATCGACAAAAAGCGACTAAATTCAATGACTACCATGACAGAACGGGCTACATATTCGTTAGTACCGTGTTGAGCGATGCGAAGAGTTGTGCACAGCAAGCTTACAATGCAAGCTTATCATGTGAACAGAGGGTGAATCGAGTTCGCACGCCGTTGATTTTCGCCAATTTACGGGTGAAGTTCAGCAGGGCCGTGCACACTAGAGAGCGTTGGTAGTCTAACTCCCACTATGGAAGCAAGCCGTGGCGCTTCCGGTAGGATAGTGCTACAGCCCACGTGGCTAAGCTTCAAGACAGGTGCAATTTGCGAGCCGCCCGACTTCGTCGCTGCGAGGAATGGCCTTATTGCTCCGCCTAATCATAATCACTTAAAGCCTGTACCGTAATGAAGAGCAAGACATGTCGAGCTCGTGATAGGAGGTGAAGGACATTTTGAAATCTGGTTGTTGCATGTTGTTGTGTATGATGTTAGTATAATTATGTTTAGATTCAATTGTCATTCTGTGTCCAAAAGTTAAAGACATTGCAATAAATAGGCGCAAGTAATTTTGGGACACGTGTGTTCTTATAATATGTTACTTGTTTTTGAAATAATGACGAATGAAAAAGTTTGAACCGCACGAATTTTCGCGACACCTGAACATTTTGCAACTGTCTCTCTCGCAAATATAATATATATATTATAATAATAAAACCTGGGATCAATCACATTCCATGTGAGTTGGCGACATAAAGATGCACATCGACAGATAGAGCAAAGGGAATGCATTCGCAGCTCGATCCTTGAGCTTACTTGCACTATGCCCCCACTTTAACGATGAATTTCCGCCTTCAAAGCTAGTTTGAAGTGCTGTATTCAACGAAAAGTGAACTGCCTGATCGGTGCAAAATTTGCCCTCCATAGATGCTGAAGGACCCTACGAACAACACAAGTATGATTCTAATAGTATCCACGTTATCCCTTGTTGGAACCTCGGAATTAATAACAGGGCGTGAGCTAATGCTCCGCAGAACTGGTGGAACCTTTGGTGAGTTCGTTATCGTATCGGGTGATTCCGAGGTGTTTCTCAACACGACGTCGGAAACGCTAGAAGGGGGGAGGTGCTTGGTCGGGTAGATTACAAGATCAAAAAGCTTCGAGCTATCTTCAGGCCTCTGAAGAAGACGAAAGGTCGAAACGTCAGGCCAGTCAATAAAAGGTTCCAATGATCAACCCCGTTGGCGCGGAAGAATTATACAACTATGATTGTTTTCCACTACGGTCAGAAAGACAGACTTGCAGAATCGACGTCAGAAGTTCGTAACCTCGTCCGCAAAATTTTCTTTGTTTCATTTGTGAATTGTCACTGGGGAGAAGAGTATCCTTAGTCTAACATAATTGTTCCGTTGTGGCAGTTTCCATGGATATCCCTTTATTGTCTGTATCAATTCGCAACATTAACAACAAGAGTAGGTAAGGTTTGATTGATTGGGGTTGAACTCATCTTTAATTGAAGGTTCTATCTATAATTGTGTCAGCCAAAATTAATGTCGCCACTATTTCACAATCTAACAAAATCAGCAATCGTCAACTAGCCCGAAAAGCCAGCCAACTTACTTATACGGCTCGTCGTCAGTTCATCTGCGAGCACCAGCAACAAACCATTCGTTTCGTTCTTTCGCAATCGCCATCCATGGTTGTTGTAGAATTCGTCGGAGACGGCGATCTGAAGCATCGTTTAGCTGCATTCGCAGCTGCTTTATGTGATTGACGAGTGCATCTCCCCATCTCGCAGCAGGTCTCCCTTTGGACCGCGAAAATCCTACGGGAGCCCACTCTACCGTTCTTCTTGTCCACCTGTCATCTGCTCTCCTCATGATGTGTCCGGCCCATCGTAGTTTGGCGTTTGTCATGTACTCCACAGGGTCTCGGAGATGGGACATTCTGCGCAGGTCTGCGCTGTGGAGTCCAGCTCGATATTGAGTAAATCTATTAAACCTCAAAAGACATCGCTCGAGCGCTCTGTGAGCTACAGTCAAAGTCCTTGACGTGGATGCGCTGCTCACCCATGTCTCTGCCGCGTAACAAAGCGCTGGAAGAACTGTAGAGTCAAACAAATGCGCACGAAGTTCTGGGTCAGCCAGATGATTGGTAACTTCTTTCAGAGGTCCGAAGGCTGCCCACGCTGCTCTCTGTCGTCTTCCTAGCTCTTCTTTCATATCGTTGTCCATGTTCATGGATCGTCCGAGATAAACGTAAGATGTGGCTTCCATGATAGGTGTGCCATCAATCTTGATTCCGCCTCCATCGGACCAAACGTTCTTCATGAATTGTGTCTTTTTCTGGTTGATCCGCAACCCCACCTTCTTTCCTGCTTCATTCAGTTCAGCGAGCATCGTCTCAGCTTCCGTAGTGCTACTTGAGAAGAGAACGATGTCGTCGGCGAAGCGCAGATTTGAAAGGTACCGTCCGTCCACACGAATGCCCTTCTCATCCCAATCGAGCGACTTCATTATCCACTGCAGCGCAGCCGTAAACAACTTTGGCGAGATGGTGTCGCCTTGTCGGCCAGCGTTCTTATGTAGGACGCATCCACTCCTTGGTCGACTAATGCTGACAGGATCGCGTTTGTTTCTACACTGTCAAAAGCCTTCTCGTAGTCAACGAAGGTAAGAACAAGAGGCATTTGGAATTCTCGGCACACTTCTATGACCATGGCGACTGACTGGATGTGGTCTAAGCAGCTGAATCCCTGACGAAATCCGGCTTGCTCGGTAGGTTGCGCTTCATCCAGTGATCGAGAGATCCGTGTAAGGATGATCTTGGTGAATAGCTTGTACAGAACGCTCAGCAAGCTAATTGGGCGGTAATTGCGAAGATCATCACGGTCTCCTTTCTTATGGAGGATAATCATGCGTGAGTTCCTCCATTGGTCTGGGATCTTCTCCTTCTGAAGGTAGATTGTTAAGTGGTCAGCGAGAAGAGCATGAAGTTGGTGACCACCTGCACGAAGCAAGTCGGTTGAGATTTTGTCAGGACCGGGAGTCGTGCCCCCTTTCATGCTCGCAATTGCCACTCGTACTTCTGAAGGAAGAATTCGCGGTGTTACTTCTCCAGTCGGAATTTCCGGGTCTGGCACATGTGTCGTGGACCGATATAGGTTGCTGTAGAACCTCTCCGTTATTTCTTCCATCTCGAACCGGGACGTTGTGAGGGTTCCGTCTTCTCTTTTTAGACATGCGAGGGGTGTAGTATGGTCTTGTAGATAACGTCTGCATTTTTGCTGCTTTAGAAAAAAGCCAGCCAACGGGTACCCTACATACAGGATGGGCGACATGATACGGGAACAAATAAATTGGTCATAAAAAAGCAGTGTGGCCGAGAAGTCCCAAATTGGCAACACCATCATATTAGTGGAAAATTATCGAAAATCAAACAATACCACTCTTTCGGAAGCCGCTGCACGCGTTGATAAATAAAGGAAGACTTCCTAGAAAGCAATCAACCCTAATAAGTAAATAGGTGTTGTCGAGAAGGTTCAGAGAAGCGACTGCTCAACTAATCCATATTCCTATTATGCTAGTAGCCATGCTTTGCCTTCGGCACACTCAATACAAACATTCCATAGGACTTGAGTTGGGAGAGCTATGTTGCCACTTCTCTAATATGATGAATTCCACGATATTCTGTTGACATCGATTTTGGATAAACTGTGCATTGTGGGTGGGTGCCCAGTGCTGCTCTGATGCCCTCCCAGTGTTGCCCTGATGACCTGTGTTTCCATTAGAGGGACCCTTCGCTCCGAAGCATCAACCGAGATGAAGGATTCAAAGGAATTTTCACTTCCAGTTTTCTAACTTGAGCAGCAGAGGCCCGAGATATCTTCGAGTCGTATTACTGCTCTTACAATTTCTGCGGAACCATCATTGAATGGCTGGTTGGCTTTTCATCAGCATTGATCCGGTTGCCCTACTTATTCGAGACAGACCCGAAAGGAGAGTATCTTCTCATCAAAGCGAAGGATCGATAAATGAAGCTCGAGCGGAATAAGATGCAACTGTTTTAACTCTTCTCAATTTTTCAACATTCAATTTCCACGCTTTAGTTAGAAGTAGCATTTTCATGCTTGTAAACCTTTGTGTTAAAGTGTGTGCACAACACGTTGTAGAAAGTGCGCTCGGCAGCAGTTTCACCGACCAAACGACGGATTGCGCAAGCTGACTTTCAACTCTTCTTTGCATGTACCTTCGACATATTACTCGTAAGTCGCACAAACACCTTCCAGGTCCAGGCCTACTGGTTTTGGTGAACAGCCAATCCAACTTTGTAATGGCGGTCGACGGAAGTTTCAAAGGGCTTTTGTTTGATTTATATAATTTCATTACAATGTATAAACACTGACCACGGATCTCTTTCACTGAGGGTCCTCTCTCACTGAAAGATCTCGAGCCGGTTGGTGGCGAGGCTACGTGGCGCGACCCCAGGTGGCGGATAGGGGGTAAATCGCGGACCAAAAGCCACCATGTACTTGCCCTGAGACGCAGGTGGATTCAGGGGATGGACTCCCTGTTTCTGTAGTGCTGTGTTGATTCATACCAGCTGTCTCCACTCAGGCGCATCCATGCATGCTTGCGTGTGTGGTGCGCTCTGTGTGTGTGCGGTTGGTATCCTGCATGTCGGCACAGCCAAAAGCTTGCATTCAAGTGACTGGGAAGTACATGGGAGGCGATTCGGGGCCGCCCCAAAAATAAGCCCCTTGTTCCGCTCCAGGATAGCGTGGCTAACTACCTGGAGGTCTATCCTAGCCCACACGACAGAGCCTGGCAAGCTACTCGTGTGCCTTCAATATGCCGAAAACAGCAATATGGATGGGCCTCATTCCCCTGAACCTGAGGGAGCCCCCAATACGGCAGCGTTGGGTAGGACCGCTCGGGAGAGGCTGCTAGAATCTCAGGGCCCGGATAGGCTGCCTAAACGAGAAGGACTTTCAGTGTTGAACTGTCAACACTGAATCATCAAAATTATTGCTCCGAATATGCATCAAAAGCTCCATGTCTCTCAAATTAAAAGATGTCAGCGGTACCTTTTGTTACCGTGATTTTTGCCCACCCTGTATAAAGCTATTTCTACTGCCCCCTTTCAGTGTGGGAATGAAAATCTCAATTTGTGAAAAATGTCCCCCAGGTGTAATTTAAGCCCATAAACCCTAGCTAAGCGATATGGTTTCAAAACAAGCACATAAAACCCTCGAAAAAAAGAACCCAAGAAACCACTCGCTATGCAGACATCAAGTCGGCATACTATTCGCAGTCGAGCTTGCGTTGTTGCTGAGCTTGATAGCTCCATACACAAGAGCCTCCACTTTGTTCGCACTGTCGTTTACAAATGAGGAAGAAAAATTTGTACAGAGCGACAAAAAAATTCAGGTGGTATAAATGCCATTTTAAACGGCCACTTGGACCCAGCACTCTCCCCTAGTCGATGGTAAAAAACGGTTAACAAAGCTTGTATAGGCACCTACATGTGAAATTGACTGAATAGCTCAACCGGTGAGGTTGAGTGAAGAGTTGACATAATCCGCGGTGACAGTAACTTTCTGCGATGTTGGAGCCGGAACATTAACGTAAACAGGATCATGAGATTTCTGCAAGAAACCAAGTTGTCCGGTAGGACTGCATTAGGTGCTCTTGAAGTATACCAAAAACATTACTCTAAATACTCCTTGTGAGTCGAAGACAAATTTAGGTGGTTATTAAGTTCACAAAGATATTTCAGCCAAAAATGGGACGATATCCTGCTCAGGTTTTTGTTTCGAAACACTTACGCGACTGACTCACACTTCGGCAGAACGCTAAAACCCGAAACTACTTACATTTTCGATTGCTTGTAATTTTCGAAGTTCCTCAAACTTCCCTTGTTAACCCTACTACCACTGCAAGCACACGTGGAAATAAAATTACCATATGAGCATTTGAAGCAGACGAATCCGTATTAGATCGAGGTGGAAGTGGAGGAGGTGGGCCTACGGGAAGGCCCATCAACGGCGAAGCTGCTTTTGTAGCTGCGTCAGGACACACAGCCTGAAAGTAAGCCAACACTTCACTTCCTATATAATAATCTTCTTAGATGACCATTATTTCACGGTTTGCTATTTTCCACAATTGATGCATGCTGCTTTAAAAATCATTTGCGAAGCAATTTGAAAAGCCTTATGTAAACATATCAATTTGATGTTCGTCAAGCAGCCAGGACTTGCTGACCGAGGCATGCGAAACAGAAAATTCAAAACGTCCGAATCGTGGTGCTTCGTTAAGTAGATAAAAAGTAAAAGTAATACCTACTTGCCATGCTAATTACTAACGAAAGAGAGGTTGAGACATCGTGGGTCACTATTTTGTTCTTCTTCCTTTGCACTGACGGAAAGGCTCTCAGGTCGCCATGGCCATTCAAGAAGAGATGTATACCCTAGATGTGCCTTTGAACGCTGATCTCAAATCTACCTTCCAAATCTGCTAAACGATTCTCTGAAGGGAGTTATGAAGCAAAACAGCGCAACGGTAGTGGTCGGGATTTGCAGTCAAAACGTCGTAGGATCGGCCCCTGATCGCGTCTACTGTTTTGCCTTCTTCAGGAGTACAGCTAAAAGGCTTTTAATAGCCTTTAGCCTAATTCCTGAAGAACGCAAGACAGTAAACGCGATCAGGGGCCGATCCTACGACGTTTTGACTGCAAATCCCGACCACTGCCGTTGCGCTGTTTTGCTTCATAACTCCATTCAGAGAATCGTTTAGCAGATTTGGAAGGTAGATTTGAGATCAGCGTTCAAAGGCACATCTTGGTAT